GCTGCAGGGCAGCAGACGTTCCACCCTCAGTTTTCCCGGAGTTTCTCTTACTTTCTCCGGCGGCCCAGGGAAGCAGCGTGGTCAAGGGCAGGGATAGCACTAGCAGCCCCTGTAGAACCCGGAGAGGGCTGGTGCGGGCACAGGAGGGGGCGGCATTAGGTCTGAGGCTCATGGTGGAGAAGATTAAGCTGGAGTCGTTCCTAGAGACAGGAGACCTCAGCGTGAGGGTGTATTGCTGCCTAGAAGTCTGCAGCAATGTGACTTTTCATGCTCTCCTGATGCCATTTATACAAGCTCCCTCAAGGCCAGTAAGGAGGAAAAAGATAAGGCAGGAGAGGTGAGGGTATATGGAAATACATGTGGGAGGGTGGGCAGGCTGTGCCCAACCCAGATAAATGCCAGGCGGGTCAGGGTTCCTGCTCAATTTCATTTTTACTTCCTTTCACACTCTCCCCCATCCTTTTCTCAGTCCCCATCTCCTTTACACAAACATAGCCTCCCACTTCGGGAGGTAAGAACAAGACTGAAGTATTACACGTATTTTCTCTGCATCACTATGTGATAATGCCCTGATAAGGCAATTTGTAGGCTTAAAAGACACTTTATGAGTATCTGAAAACATAAATATGCAGCCCTTTCCGGTTGCCAAGGAAAGCAGTTGTTCCCAAATTGGCTGTTGACAAATGCTAGGATTTGTCTGTAGGATGTAGATAAAATATGAGCCAATAACCATAAAAGGCTCACTCTGTGTATTAGTTTATGGGCTGCTTTCTGTTTTCCAAATGTATTATTTTTTTTATCATTTCATCCAGAAACTAGAAGAAAAATTCCTCTCCCCTTGTGTTATAAAATAAACTGCTTGTTTCTGACACCTGAGTCTACCCTAAAAAACAAGCCCCTGCGTATTTATTTTTTCTTTTATTTTTATTATTACAGGGAAGCATGTAATATAATTTATTGTAAAAGGTTCATACACTGCAGATGTATGTGGAATAAGAAGTGTTATCATCATTATTCTATATCCTCACTCCCCAGTGGTAACCTTTGGTAACAAGTTGGCATTAGTTTTCTATTCTACCTGCATTTATATACACATGTATACATATGCATAGAGACACACACACATCACTCATAGAGAAGCTCATATATAGATAGAGGTAGACACAGAATTTTTAATAAAAATGGGATCATTATATAGCTTGCTTTTGTCCTTCCAAAATATGTCTTCAGCATCCTTTCATGCTACCCCAATGTAGTTTTGCCCCATCCTTTTTTTAATGGCTGCATGACATTCTATGGCATGGGCAATCCTCTGTCCAACCTCTGTCTTATTGGTGACCTCAAGGGTGTTTCCAGTTTTGCAGTATTACAAATTGCAATAAAATCTCTATTCCTCAGTTCTCAGACCCTCCTTATGGGTCTCCATCTCAAACCCCACATGATATAGATAAAGTCCCACAGAGATGCAGGGCAGACCTACACATCACATGCTGGCTGGTGTGTATTATTGTCTGGATCCCTGTTTCTTCTATAAAACTTGCTGCCTCAACTGGCTTTTGAAAGTCGAGGCATGCCCTAGGTTTCTTTGAATGCTTTAGGTATCCTTCGGGGTGTAGGATAATGCAATATACAGCGGGTCCTAAACAGTATTAGTCAATGACTGTGTATCACATGAAGGAAAGTTTCTCTTTCCTTTTTAATCAGACACAATCCTCAAACCAAACTCCATGTGGTCCCAAGTACCTATGGTATAGAAAAGGTGATTTAGAAGGCTGGGAATAAAGGATAAAGTTCAGGCCACAAGCTCTCTTCCTATTAAAACTATGCACGAATACTACACATTATTATTTAAACTTCCCTTTTTTTGCCAACTTTTTATAACTTTAAAATTCTGGAAAAAAACACTCAAAATATTCAAATGTACAAAATTACTTTTTTTATCAAAAGAATGAATACAGTAAATTATTTTTTCCAATTTTTTTTAAAGATTTTATTTATTTGACAGAGAGAGAGAGAGCAAACACAAGCAAGGGAAGCAGCAGAAGGAGAGGGAGAAGCAGGCTCCCCAACAGAGCAGGGAGCCTGATGAGGGGCTCGATCCCAGGACCCCGGGATCATGACCAGAGCCAAAGGCAGCTGCCTAAACCCCTGAGCCACCCAGGTGTCCCTTGCTTTAACTTTTAAGTCAATGCCCCCTGTTGTTTAACAGTGACTACTACACCTACTTAAGTTCATAGGTCCTGTTTTATAAGAGTATTTCTTATTTTTCTCACCCCATTTATTTTCCTCTTGTAACTTCCAGTCTAGCAGTAGAATATCTTAAAATGATTTTCCAACTCTCCCAACTCAGAAATTCATTGTCTAAGAAACAGGATCAATAAAAAGCTGAGATGTGGAGTGAATTGCAGAGAGATTATCAGTAGGAAACAGAGTAAGGAGAATTAACTTCTTTCTAGTTCTTCCTGAGTGATGGCTTTATTGTCTTTCCTCATTACTGAGACTGAAATGTTATTAATTCTCTGGTCAGATATATTTTTATTCAAATGTAAGCTCAAAACCATTTCCAGAGCAAGATACAAAGATTTTTTTTAAAGCATCATAGTATCTTTCTTTTTCCATCCATCATAACCCCCAACACATATTTGCTCACTGTATTTATTGACTTCACTGGACACTTTTTCCCTCATACATACACTATCCAACTTTCTTTCCTCGTTCACTTAGTATCAGGAAAGAGGTAGGCACGTAGAAGAGTATCATTACGTCATTGTCTTAATCAACAAATTTGTGACAAAAGACACATCGTCAGCAAGGTTCATGAGGAAGCATTAACAAATTTCTTGAGTCATTAAAATTTCACAAGCCTATTAGTTGGCATTTGAGGTAAATAATGTTTTGCTAGCTTTCGCTGATTCAATAAATATTAAGTATCTACTATGTACCAGGTGTTTAAAAGTTCTCTTCGTTGTGTGACTTGGTCATTTAACTATTTCTTTTTTAAAAGTGAGACCTCAAATATTTGTGCAAAACAATGGAACATCAATACTAATCTGCTACTACTAGAAAAGATACTTTGAAATCAGTTATTCAACTAAAAGAAGTCAGCTTATACAAAATAGTATATTTAAATCAATGCTATGAAATTAGTGTCAGGGTTCTTGGGTTTTAAAATGACAGCCTTTTTATTGATCTGACATTGTCATGCTGTTCATTTTATTTTATTCTGTGGTAAGTTACTTTATCTCTTTTTCCTTTAAGTCATTGTATAAATAGCAGAGTCATAGAGTCATTCAGGAAACTAGCAAGTTTTCTAAGACTCAAAACAACTTATCTGTTAGCTATTTTATTTTTTATTTTTTTTTCTGTTAGCTATTTTAAAAGAAAATATCTAGAGGCATTGGAGGAGCATTATCCATGAAAATTAAGATACATTAACTCTGTCTTACATAAAAGATTTTGAACTGACATCCCCCAAGTATGAAGGAAATAAGCTATCACTTGCAAATTAGTCCTAAAAGCAATTGGCACAGAAAATCTTAGGGCTAATACAATTTTGGGTCTTGTTTTTAAAGCACCTTCAGCAATAAATTGAAATTCTAGCCAATAAAAGATTTCCTATATGTGCTGAAACCAAATACGTTTTCTGTATAATTCTGAGTTGACAAGAATGATCCAGACCTTAATTACTCTGGCAGTCAAGTCAATTGAGGCTGGAGACTGCCCAGAGATGAAGTGTGTGTGGGGGGGGGGGGCGGCAATGGAGAGGAAGAGGGGGAGGGTGAAAGAATTCAGGGGAAATGTCTTCCTGGGTGCTGTTAGACAGAAGCACTCACTGCAAAGTTCGGCAGGCCTGAGAATTTTCACTTTAACTTTATGTTGATGAATACCATCCACTGAACATCCAATGCATAATGATACTCTTGTGGAACAAGCCAATCCCAAATTTAGTGGCCTACAACAACAATTTATTATTTCTAATAATTCCATATGTTAATGAGTGGCACTTGGACCTCACTCAGGCGGGTGTAGTCAGAGCACCAGTGGAGGGGCTGAGACCCCCACCACAGCCTCACCCACCTGGGAGGGCCGGGGGCTGGCTGCTAGCCCAGGTGCCTGCTGGGGCAGCCCGTCCTCCTGCTCCTCCTTCTCCAGTAGCATGATTTTACTTCTCAGGAATACATGAAGAACAAGAACGGAAGGGAGGTAGAAAGGGAGGAAAGGTGAGAAGGAGGGAGTGAGGAGACAGGAGAGTTGGGAAGGGAAGGGAAGGAAGAAAAAAGAAAAAGGAAAGTGAAGGCACAAGCCCTCCACTCTCCTCCCTTCCCTTCCCCTCACACCCTCTCCTCCTGGTCCCCTCCGCCCTCCTCGCCTTTTCCACCTCCTCTCCTCCCCTCCTTGCCTCTCCTCTTCTGTGATTTTTCCTTTCTCCCCTTCCCTCTCCTCCCTGCCCCTGCAACCCGACTGCACCTCCTAGATTCATTCCCTTTCAGGAGCCTTCCTCCGGCGGTGGCACACAACAGTGTCCCTCGGCTGCTAATGATGGCTGCCCAAGGTCCTCTCTGGGCACAGCCCAGGGCCTAAAGGGACTGTCTCGCCCAAAGTTGTGCCCGCCCCCGGAGATAGCCCTCATCTAGTGACCGGTCGGTGGGGGGAGTACAGAGATCCGCTCTCTTGCCACAATTCAGAATGGCTCTGAAAGGCTACCCCAGCTCCAGAGCTTCGCAGAGCCGCCCGGGGAATCTTCTGCTGTAGCGGCAGGCTCTCCCTCTACCCGACCCTCTCTTTACTTCCTGACAGATGGGAATTCTTAGAGCACTCCTCAGTAAACTTCCTGCACACAAATGTCCTCTTGGAGTTTGATTCTAGGGAATCCCACCTAAGGGACTCTTTCTCTCTTTTTTTAAAAAAAACCTAGTCCCTTTTCATTCAGCTTTCAAGTAAAGCTTTGTCAGAGAGAACTCAGTATATTGGCCATCAAGAGGCCTTAACTTCGTCTGAAAGCTTCTCACTTTTGTCATCTCCACATTGGAAGGATCCTGGGCTTGGTCTAGCATGTAACAGGATTATCAATAAATGGGTGTTGATGGATGAATATTTATAAGAAGGAAAACACACCATACATGTTAATAATGCTAACACATGAATGACAGAGAATAGAGAATATGAATACATTGTTTCCAGAAGCTTCCTAAAAAAGACTCGTGGAAACAAATTCTTAGGTGTACTAAACATCCATGCATAGATAGAAAGAATATGGATATGTTTGGGGAAAAAATGATGGCACGTAA